CCTTCCCGTGTCCTCATGCATGTGTCTTTATGCTGGAGGGTCAGAACAGGCTGCTCGCAAAGCTTCAGAAATGCAGCTTGCGTCGTGCAAAAGTTCTAGCCCCATGGGGGTGGTCACCCTGGTTTGCACAATGATTTGATCTGCCCGGGCTATGGCTAGTGGCCCTGCACTGACATTGCGCTGTAGGCATAGGGTTAGTACTCGGCATTACCATGTGGGAAATCAAAGTTTGACTCCTGGATGCTTGTTGTGGAGCCGGAGAACCTGACGAGCGGAGGGTGTTACAAGCGGTGGGATGTTTGGTGGAATGCCTTCGTTCCTAGCTAAAGGCCCTTTCCGGGAAGCTTCTAAGAAAAGCTTCCTTTTTTGCCAAGAAGAATAGTAAGGTTGAAGCCTTAAGCTTGGGGTGGGGAAGGAGGAGAATATAATGTGAAGGAAAAAATTGGGGAAACTTAGAGTTGGAAAACTACCAGTGGGAAAGAAGGTAGATAATCTGAGAAAATACACCATGTCTTGGCTCTTTCATCAGGATGTACTACTTTCAGGCTTTAATTGTGTTTGGTATCTACTTTTCTCACCTCCCAGGTGTCTTTGACCTTTCTGCTGTTGTTTACCACAGACTAGATTCTGATAAGATGCTAAATAATGAACTGGTGTTTTCTAGAGCTTAAAATTTGTTGCCAAATACCTCATTTCTTTGGAGATGTCAGTTTAATAGGAGGGAAGCAATCACTTGGTTAATATTTCAGAATTTTAGCTTGGAAAATTTGCACTGGCATTTTGTCTTTTGCAGCGAAGATTAAGTGTCCAAACCTGTGTGCGTATCTGCCACCCTTGTTTTGGTGGTGTATTGGAAAATTGCCCACGGTCACAGGTCTTGTTGGACTCTCCCTGCTGGCAGCTCACCAGATTGTTGGGAGGGGATTTAGGCCAGATCTACACTGGACCTGGACGGTCAGGATAAGATGTGCATCTCCAGCTGTGTAAAATATGTAGCTGGAGTCAGCTTATCTTAAGCCGAGCTTGGCAGGAGCAAAGGCTCCTGTTGGCTTCCCTTATTCCTCGTGACTGGAGTGAGGAGTACCGGTGCTGACTGGAGCTGCCCTCAGTGTTCGATTTAGCGGGTCTTGACTAGACCCGCTAAATCAAACGCCAGATCAGCCGCCGATGCCACAAGTGCAGATGTTGAATCTGTATTTTAAGCCCCCCGAGTCTGAATGGAGTCCAGTCACTGCTGATGTCTTGGGGTTCCTAGGCGCACACTCGCGGTGCAGATCCTTTGTTGCATCCTTTATGTCAGCTTAAAAAAGCAGTTTATTTATTGGAACCAGGGCTGACTCCTGAGACACCCCCTAACACTAAAACACATCTTCTCCCAGAGCTCCACCCAAAGGCATGACTCTTCTGTTTTCCCTCTTCGAGGGGCCCCACGGTAAGTGTGGCACATAATGCACAGAAGTCTAACATTTCTTTTCCTCAGTTTCCTTAACCTAGGACAGGGCAGTCACTGAGCTGGGATCAGGGTCCATTATCCCATCTACAGTCTGTCGGTTCCAGTGCATACCTTCTGATCTGAAACATGGAGCATTCTCCTTAGGTGAAATTGCTTCTTCGGACCATGTTTGGTCTGTGCCCTTCCTTCTGCCTTTTCTTGTGTATGTCTGTCTCCTTCCCTGTTCCCTCTCTGGCCCCTTTTATAGACTCTTGTTTGGTTACCTGGCTTCTTTTTCCAGTTTGGGGGCATTTTCCAGTCAAGGGGAGGAGAGAAATGGTTTTCCTAAGCTGAAGCCCACCCATTGTTCAAGGTGTATCACTGAGTTCTAACTATCCTCCGTTGTATCTGGTCTAGGTGGACTTGATACAGTAAAGGTAGAAGTCACATACACAGATGCATTCAAAAATACGCCAGTTTCATAATGCCAGCTTTGCAATATTAACCAGCAAGACAGCTTTCAAAAAACATCACACTAAGTACAGAATAGATGTAAAGCCCATGCCCCAAAATTATGCATATAAATGTCTCTAAAATAGGTATTTTAAAAGTTACCCTAGCCCATGGCTCCCAGATATCTGATGCTCTAGGCAGACTGAAGCAGATAGGTTGTAAGGAAAATACCGATTTGATGTGCTCAATTTCCCAATCTGAATCTGAAAAATAAGATCTCCCAATGGTCCTCTTCAGTAGTTGATTGAAATCCAAGTTGGTTGGTACAGTCCCTGGCAATTGGATTGACATACTGTTATGTGTCCCTCGGATACCCTTGATGATAACGTTGTTCCAGTTCTGCCCTTTTTCTGACTGTAGTATTGCATCTCCCTGCCAAGGAAGCTGCAAATTATTTACTTGTCCGTCAGTAGAAGACCACAGTATTTGCAATGGGTCTGTGTGACTCCAAGAATACATCATTGCCTGGCAGTGCTATATTTATGAGAGATTAAGCATTATATATTCTGATATGTAGATTAAAAAGGATAAAACCTTCAGGAAGTATTATTTCAGCTTGATTCGCTTCAACTACAAAGCCAAATCTCGGTGGCTTTGTTTAGTTAAACAGAGTTCAAATTCCACAGGGAATCGATGTGAAACAGAGAATGTGGCGCAGTTTGGATAAGGCACTTAAAAAGCTAATAGTTAAATTAACTTGGTGTTTAAAAAACAAACCTGTCTTCCCTGGCACACACATTTTCTGTGACTTAAATTTTTCATAACCCCTGTCATGTTGTGCTTACTGTAGAGTAAGTGCCTCTGTGGTTAGCTTAATCTTTCAGGGCAGCCTTGTGAAGCAAGCCTAGTTTTTTGGTGTTTAATCTAGCCTGACAGATAAAGGGGATCGTAATAAATAAATAATCTGAAACCCATCTCAGTTTGGTTATTTAGAATGGAACTACAGTGGAATCACGAGGAGATACCCTCTGTGTCTCTGGTCACTGGAGAAGGAATTTGGGGCAAGATATAGGAAGGTGTTCACTCTACCCTCACTTTTATTAAGATGATTGCTCTGTCTTCAGAAAAGCATTGAGCGTCGTAATTTGTGGAGGGAGACAGTTTTATAGAGATCCCTGCATGTGGCAGAAAACAGTTACAGTTGTGATCATCTTTCCTCCTTTCTCTTCAGCTGCAGCAGCAAAATGGTTCACTGCAGCGTGATAAAATGCGGCATTACTCTGGGCAGGCCTTTGAAGGCTTGCAGTGCTTTAATTTTTTTCTGCAGCTTGATGAACCACCCATTCCCCAAATGAGGCGGCTGGGAAATAACTGGGATGGGTTCCCACCTGGTTCTTTTCCTGAATTATCCTGAAAGATTCCATTAGGCTTTGAAATCCCACGACAGAAAAGGAACATAGGAACCTTTTGAAGAAATGTTCTAGTTTTCTGGGAATCAACACCTACGTAATCCTCAAACATCGTCTCATCTTTGGTATATAGTGGGAAGAGAAATTGCATCACACAGTGGAAGGAAGAATTAATTTGTTGAGAGCTCCAATTTATTTCCGGATTAGTGCTTTTTATTATTTTTGCAAATAGATTCATGAAATGCAAACATGAGCAGAACCTAGAATTACATGATTAACTTCTTCAATAATGTGCTTACCGGGTGTAATTTGCAAAATAATAAAAACAAACGTAATATTCCATTTGACTCCTGTTGCCACCATTGTCACCACCCACCAGTTCAACCTCACAGTTGCCAGGTTTTGTGAAGCTTCATGTTGTCCTGCCACTGCTTGGGGAAGGACGTGTTGGCCATATGTTGCCATTTATGGTCATATACAGATTTGCATTATACATAATTTGCTGGATTGATTTGCATAAAGCTAGTTTTGCATGAAATTTCCCATGCTTTGTAGATGAAACAGAACATCACTCTTGAAGAAGTGTTGTCCAAAAGGCTTGACTTAATGATATCCTGAAATTTCAGATGTGACTTGTTCTTCACTTGAACTGTTTTTGTGGTGGGTAATTTAAATTCCACTGAATTGAAATGGGAGTTCTGGGCCCGGTTGTCCCCCTAGCGATGGTAGTGGTAGCTTTTGCAATTGATAGTCAAGGGAGCAGAATTTGACACTGTGCATGTGTGTGAGCGTGTTGCCCTCTGGCTGCAATTTAGAAAGAATATAAAGTTATGCGATGCCTAGTTGATGCTAGGAGAGATTTCTGTAGCTCATGTGACTCAGACCGGGGGGGGGGGAATAAAGTGAAGGGTTAATGTCATAATCTCAGTTCTGCCGCTCTGTGTTTTGTATACAGAGGGACGATAGCCGTACCATAGCTAAGCTTGCAATAAGTATCCTATTTTGAAGGTTCTTTTTCAAAATCCCTCTTGTAGCCCAGAGCAATGAAGACCCTCACGCCCTCTGTTTCTAATAGAAAACGCAGCACCTACCAATTGCAGCAGCTAAGTTTATGGGAGCGTCAGCCTTTGTAACATTTAACTTGATCAATTAATTTTGAAAGCTGCACAGTTATAAAGACTTCAATAAGCCAAGGAAAAGGTCTCATTTAACCAGCATCAGAGGTGTCTGCTGTTGGACATATTCTCTGTAAACAGCCATTTTAAGATATGCCCATAAAGTTGTCAATGCCAAGTGTATTTGACCTTAAATTAGAGCAACTTATTTCTGAAGTTGAAGTTTTTATGACTTCTTACTTTGCATCAGTATTTCAGGGGGTCTGAAATGAATAGACAGTGTTGAATGTCAGGTTACAACTGCAATCATGTTTCCAAGCAATCTTAGAGTGGATTTTACAATTTGTAAATGTTTGTGCTCCATTTAATAGGCAAATAATATGACAATGTGTTTTGCAAATTGCATTTTTGAGTGGCATCCTCCTGTAGAATGAACAATAGACCCTGAATACACACAGACTTTCATTCTGTACTTTCAGAAGTAGAATTCATAGAATTTCAGTGCATCAAAGGCAACGGTTCTGCCATCAGCTGTAATTCATTACATGTATATAATGTCCACTTTTTATTTTGTTTTATTTCCTCTTACAGAACTATACGCAGTATATTCCCCTCTCCATCTATGACCTGCAGACTTGGATGGGCAGTCCTTCCATTTTCGTCTATGATTGCTCCAATGCTGGCCTTATTGTCAAGTCATTCAAGCAATTTGCACTACAGAGGGAGCAAGAGTTGGAGGTGAGACCTTAGTGAATTGCCAGAGTTTGCTGCGGCTTCATTTTGCTCTCTGCCGGGCGTTTGGGGTTTGATCCTGCTTCCCATTGACTTCAGTGGAGACAGGTTTGAGCCCATTACGAGACACATAGCTGGGAAAGTAAATATTTAAAAAACCCAAATTAAAAAGCACATTTATCTGAGGAAAAATCATGTTGTTCCAGTGCAGTCTTTCTGGCTCTGATGCCATCCCTATTATAGTCAGAATCATTTTTATTGTGAGTACTAATTAAGTGATCACGTTAATAGAATCAGTTTGTGCCCTAATAATCTTTGCCACTGCGATAGATGCTGAAGTGAAGCAGACCCATTTATTTTAGATGCAGTAGACTGATGCCATGATACAAATTTGGATTCCAGTAGTGTTTCTTGCTATTGTACTGAATGCATAAATGTTAAACTGAATGATTTAAATCAGATAGACAAAAGTACCTACTGCTGATGGCGTTAGCTTGACAGAATACCAAAGTGTAACCATGTATTTCCAATCAAAAGACCCCTTTTCATTATCGTTTTAATTAGACTGTATTAACTGTGAATTGTGAGGAGGAATATATGAAGTAACGTATATTACTTCCCTTTGTGCACTAGATGTTTAGTACAGCAGCGAGTCAGGAAACAGATACCTGACTGGACATTTTCCCTAAGTGTTAGCCCATTTGAAAAGCAGGCTGTTAAAGGTTCACTTTGTATACATTCATAGCACTCAGACACATACTTTTAAAACTTTCAGTCTGTTTTATAGGGCTTATTGGTCAGTTAGACAACTGGCTGGTGGGTACAAACATGATTCTAAGACATTTATGGAGGATGGGGCTGGTTTTCATTTTTAAATAGAATGAACCCATGTGATATATTTTGCTGTGACTTTCTG